TGGTCCCCTTTCATATTTACACTGAGGAAAAAGTATATGCAAGTATAAACACACACCAAACCCTAAACAAGCGTTTCTCGACTCGTACTTTCAGGGCGAAAAAACAAAGTAGGCAATTGGGGACCTAAGCAAATTCCCAAAGTCCACAACCCTAAACCTAAAGTCTTTTGATCCTAAGCCTACATCCCCAAAACTTGGGATGTTCCCACTTCTTTTTAACAGTCCTGAACAGGCACTATATTGGGGGGCACTAGAATCCCCACTAAGGACTGCTAATACAGGGAAAAGCATCCCCTAAACCTTAAACCCTAAACTCTAAACCCTAAACCCTAAACCCTAAACCCTAAACCCTAAACCCTAAACACCCCCCCCCCCCCCCCCCCCCCCCCCCACAAACAGCCCCAGAAGGTCAGCGGGCCTTCACTGCAGTCTCATCACCTCCGATGCCCATCCAGAGCCTGGCGCGCACGTCCTGCGTGGCTGGGTGAGCCCTAAACCCTAAACCCTAAGCCCTAAGCCCTAAACCCTAAACCCTAAACCCCTAAACAAGACAGCCCTAAACTCTCAACCCTAAACCGTTGGGGAAGATATGACCCCGAAAATTTTCGGGTGAGGGCTTGGGCTTGTGCGGTCTAGCGATCTCATTTCGGCTGTAAGGGCAGGGCCCAAACAGGGTTCTTGGGCACAAGAGGGCGAGAAGGGGCTATAGGGTCATCAGTTGGCGGATGGAGGAGGGAGGGGGGGGGGGGGTGTCGGTTACCCTAAACCCTAAACCCTAAACCCTAACCCTAAACCCTAAACCCTAAACCCTAAACCCTAAACCCTAAACCCTAAACCCTAAACCCACGCGGTTCCTCCGGGATGGCGTTGGCGGAGGTGGAGATCTCTTCGGCGATGTCGGCGATCTCGGCCATGGACTTGGCGTCCTCTGCGATGGAAGGGTCAAAGCCCGAGAAACTGGGTTTAGGGTTTAGGGTTTAGGGTTCAGGGTTCAGGGTTTAGTGCTTAGGGTTTAGGGTACATGTGATCCCTTAGCCTACTATTGCCTAGGAACCCCCCAAAAATTGAAATCCGCCGAGGCCTCGGGCCGGAGGTGTATAGGTTGTCAGAACAGGCACCCCCCTCCAAATCCTCCCCCCACACCCAAAGCCACTTGTCGGACCCCTTTTTTTGCCTCAAATGGCTATCGCGGTCTTCTCTCGGACGACTTTTTTGTCTTCATGATGGTGTGTCGTTGGCCACGTGCATGTACTGTACATTAAAAAAAAGCTGTGAATTCATGACGGAGCTGTTCGTGGCATAGGCTCAGCGGCGCTTGTGGACTGTCTTCTGCAGTCTCTTGGACAGCGAACTGCTGTCCAAAGCGTGGTAATGCTTCAGACTGGTGCCGGCGCTGTGACCAACAAAGTGCTGAAGGGAGCGCACCTGCCAAGGATAAGGTTAAAAACCGAAAAGATAAGGTAAAAAAACCATACGAAAGCCTACTATACATTTGCCTACTTCATTTGATGAGGTGTAAAACCCAAACCTGGTGGGCATGCTGGAGCTCGGGGTCCGTGAACAGGTGTGCTTCGGCTGCTGCACGGATGCCTGTTGTTGTGGTTCCTGTGACCTTTGCGATGCCTTTGCGGAAGTCGTCGTAGGCGATGGCCAAAAACGGTGCCCGCTCACCAAGGCCTGCACGTGCGGGAGGGTCCAGGTCCGGGCCGTCATCTGTGTACCCTGTGGTCCGCTGCAGGTCCAAGAAGTTGTTGGCCATAAAGTTGTTGTACCCCCCCGAGGAAACCGGGGTCCGCAAGCGGACGGTTCGCCAGGACCAAAGGCAGTTGAAGCCCCTCCCAGCAGGCGCCCGTCCCCTTTTTCTTCTGCCACCCCCCCCCAATCAACACCCCCCACCCCCACCCCCCGCACCCCTCCCCCCACCCCCCCCACCCCCCCCACCCCCCCACCCCCCCCCACCCTCCCCCCCACCCCCCCCCCCCAACTCCCCCCCCCCACCCCCCCCCCACCCCCCACCCCCCCCCCCCCCCCCACCCCCACCCCCCCCCCCCCCCACCCACTGCAGTTGGTGAGCGGGTTTTTGAGTCTGAGCGCATCTTAAACCTTAAGCCGGAAGCACTCAACCACCCCCCCCCTTCCCCCCCCACTCCCTGAGGGGCCTGGCTCGAACCGTCTTGAACCCTACTCCCAAAAAAACCCTAAACCCCAAAGCGTGAACCTTGAGCCCTAAGCCCTCAATCCTAAACTAAACCATAAACCATAAACCCGGAACCCTAAACCCTAAACCCTAAACCCTAAACCCAACCCTTATTGCTTGGGGTCCAGCGACTTGGGCGCTGCGGAATCACCATGCTCACGCGGATGCGCTGGGCCGGGCCGAGGCGGGTCGCGTAGCGTTAAAATTATTCTTCCTTCTAAGGGCAAGATAGGGATTGTTATATATATATATATAGTTTTTTTTTTTTTTGGGGGGGGGTTCTTAAGCAAGTAGTAGTAACTTCGTGGAAGGAATAGCCTACCCAACAACTATGACACCTTCCCCTTTCGCAGTGTACTAAAGATGTCTATTACCTGCAGAGAACTTATAACCAGCCGGTGGTCTCTTTATCTGTTACCCTTATACGTTTAATATAGCCCCTAGATACCCTAATAAGAACCTCCTACAAAACAGAAACCCTACTTAAAGAGACCACCAACCAATATAACAGAGAACTGAAGAATCCAAAGCATTCGTGGTTGCAGGTCACCCACGGATCGCCTCGCACAAGACTTATTTGAACAACAGCCCCACGCAAAAGAGGGATGAGGGTTTAGGGCTTAGGCTTTAGGGTTTAGGGAACAACAACCCATCGCCAGGCGCTTAAGCTGAGCTTTAAGCAGGTCTCGGCCAAGAGTCCCAAGGTGTCTCACCCCGTCAAAAACTCTAAAGCTCCCCCGCTCGTGAAATCCCGTGCTCCAAGTCTTACTCCGGGTTTAGAGTTTAGGGTTTAGGGTTTAGGGTGTAGGGTTTAGGGTTTAGGGTTTAGGGTTTAGGGTTTAGGGTTTAGGGTTTAGGGTTTAGGGTTTAGGGTTTAGGGTTTAGGGTTTAGGGTTTAGGGTTCCCAGCACGGGAGCGGATCCCTGTAGTCCTTCCTCCCCCCAACAAACGAAGCACACAGACAAAAAGAGCTGAAATTGGGACGTTCCCCCTTGTACTAACAGTCCTTCGTAGGGGTTGATTGCAGTACCCCCAATTGAATCCCAACTAAGGACTGCTAGTATAAGGGGAAAATTCCCCTAAACCCTAAACCCTAAACCCCAAACCCCTAAACCCTAAACCCTAAACCCAAAAGCCCCAAACCTCCCCCCCCCCCCCCCCCCAAAAAAAAAAAAAAAATCGAAGCACAGCAAGAGGTGCCCGCATGGTCTTGGCCGGGGAGAAGTCCCGCAGTTCCAGATCCATCCTGTGCAGGGCCTAGGGTTTAGGGTTTGGGGTTTAGGGCTTAGGGTTTAGGGTTTAGGGCTTAGGGCTTAGGGTTTAGGGTTTAGGGTTTAGGGTTTAGGGTTTAGGGTTCAGGGTTTAGGGCTTAGGGTTTAGGGTTTAGGGTTTAGGGTTTAGTGTTTAGGGTTTAGGGTTTAGGGTTTAGGGTTTAGGCTTTAGGGTTTAGGGTTTAGGGTGCAGGGCCACTTCGTCGACTTACTGGTTCGCAGCAGGGAATGAGAGCCCCTATGTAATCCCTTGAAGGGTACATTAGGGGGCTTAAGTTCCCTCATCCCCTACCAATAAGAACCAGTAGGGTTTCAGGGTTTAGGGCATTGGGAAGCAAAAACATCGGAAGCCCAACATATCAATCGCACATGATTCCCGAACGAGTTCGACAGTGTTCTGCGAGGCATCCGAGGGTTGGAGCCCATTAGGCGGTCGCCTGCTGGCCCCGGCATAGATTTTAGGGTTTAGGGTTGCATTCGGAAAGATTGTGGGGCTGAGGGCTAGGGGGCCTTGTGGGGCTTGAGGTCCTTAGGGTCGCTACATGGGCCCTTCATTGTTTAGGGTTCAGAAGGGGTATATAAGGGATCCCCTTTCGAGGGCTTATCTTAAGGGATCATGTAACTACCCTAAGGTCATTCGGCTTGGCCTGATGATGTCCTCCACGATGTACTCCTGGAAGATGTCCCAGGGCCCGCGGAGAACGCCGGAGGTCTGCGCCAGCATGGCGGACTCCCGCATAGCCATGTCGAGCAGCGGAACATCCTGGCCAGGGCCTAGAACTTCATATACCTTACGAGGAAGTATAGTAGTATAGGGTATATGACCCAAAATTTTAGGGTTCATTTGGTCCCCAAGGAAGAGTTTAGGGCTTAGCGCTCAGGATTTGGAGCTCGGCCTAAACCCGGAACCCTAAGCCCCAAACCCCCGTAAACCCCCTAAAACCCCCAGACCTCCTAAGACCTCCTAAACCCCCTAAACCCCCTAAACACCCCCAACCCTGATCCTAAACCCTAAACCCTAAACCCTAAACCCTAAACCCTAAACCCTAAACCCTAAACCCTAAACCCTAAACCCTAAACCCCTAAACCCCTAAACCCCTAAACCCCTAAACCAACCCAGCTCCTCCTTCTTCACGAAGGAGATGGCCCGGGACGGGCATCCCCGGACCTTGGTGTCTTACTGGGGCTTTTCCAGGGTTGACTAAGGTTTAGGGTTTAGGGTTTAGGGTTTAGGGTTTAGGGTTTAGGGTTTAGGGTTTAGGGTTTAGGGTTTAGTGTTTAGGGTTTAGTGTTTAGGGTTTAGGGTTTAGGCTTTAGGGTTTTGGGTTAAGGTTTTAGGGTGTACGAAAACAAGGGACCCCTACTGTGGATCCCCAAGTGGCAGGATCCACTTAGAATAAGGCGCCTCAGTAAGAGACCGCCTAATATCGTAAACCCCCATCTGGGTGTGGGGGAGGGGGGTTAGGGTTTAGGGTTTGAGGGCTGTAGGGTAAAAGGGCAGGGTTAAAGTGAGGTGTACTGCAAGTCCCCAATTACCTGCTCAGCACCTGTAAGGTGCGAAGCACCTGGTTCTGAGGGTTCTAGGAATGAATTCTGAGGGTTCTAGGGCTGAAGCTTTTGGGATTTAGGGTTCTCGGGAACAACCAGCAGAGTTAAATGTCACAGCAGCTTAGAGGGCATGCCGGCCGGGGGGTGGCGAGGAGAATCAAGCCCACAGCCCTCAAGCCTATGCCCCCCCCCCAAACCCTACACCCGAAACCCTAAGCCCTAAGCCCCAAACCCTAAACCCTACCCCTAAACCCTAAACCCTAAACCCTAAACCCCAAGAAGCTGCTTCAACATTCTGGACTGGGCTGCTGCTGCTTCGAGGATCTCCGCGGCATCGGCATCCTTCATGGGGGGGGCACTTTGGGATCATGGTCCTTAGAGGGCTTGCAGGGTTTAGGGTTTAGGGTTTAGGGTTTAGGGTTTAGGGTTTAGGGTTTAGGGTTTAGGGTTTAGGGTTTAGGGTTTAGGGTTCAGGGTTTCGGGCGTAGCGTCAACCAAAATCGTAGCCACGGATTTAAGGTACCGACTTAGCAAGGGCAGGCCCTCCTCTCGCCCTAAACCCTAAACCCTAAACTCTAAACCCTAAGCCTAAAACCTAAACCCTAAACCCTAAATCCTAAACCCTAAACCCTCTCTCTCGATCCTGCATCACTGCGTGTGCCTTCTCGCCCCGCTCGGGGCTCCTTCCAGGGGCGCAGGCGGGTTTAGGGGCTTCAGTGTTGCAGGGTGTCACGGCTTTAGGAACCCTACTTCAAATACGGTCGTAACCGAGTGCTACCTTACTCATATATACGTAGTCTATAACAGCCGCCCTGGTACTACTACCCTGAACCCCAAACCCTAAACCCTAAACCCTGAACCCCACACCCTAAAAACCCTGAAGCCTCAGGGCTAAAAGGGTCCCCAAAACAGCGTCCTATGGACGGCGAAGGTCGATGAAGCGACCTCCACGCATTTGTAGCATCTGGAGCAGATCGACTCATCGACGAAGACTCCTTCCCACACCCCGAAGAACTTAACCCCAACCCCCTCCCGAATTTCGGGTTTAGGATTTAGGGTTTAGGCTTCACCCTAAACCCCCCAAATCCCCAAATCCATGAACTCTTGAACTCCAAACCAAACCCAGGCCTTTCACAAAGCAGGGCCGAAGGCGTTGTGGGCTTATTATGGTTCTGGGCCTTGGGCTGAGGGCTGTTTTGTGTTGCGGGCTTCGGGCTTAGGATTTAGGGTTAAGGGTTTAAGGCTTAGGAGATCTTTATGGTTTTGGGCTTAGGGTTTAGGGTTTTGGGCTGAGGGCCCTTCTTGAGGTTTCAGGGCCGTTCAGGGTGCATGGAAGTGCAGGCCGGTCCTCTCTCGTCGTCCTCGTCGTTCACCTTAAATCAGGCAGTGGAGGGGTGCGGCAATAGGTCCTCAGGGCTTTATTAAGAGTCCCTTGTTCTAAGGGTGCGTGTCTTGCTCTCTTGCAGAAATCTTGCAGGGATCTAGAACTGCTGAGCCCTCTTTCTAAACCGTAGGCCCTAAACCCTAAACCCTAAACCCTAAACCCTAAACCCTAAACCCTAAACACCAAACCCTATGAAAGCAAAGCACGGAAGCACACACCCAGGAAGCCGGCTACTTCGACACTCATCACGGGGAAGACGCTCAACTCTGCCATGCGCTACCCTGAGAGTCCATGTACCCATATAGCATATACTTGGGCCTTGAAGGGGTTGCTGTATACTAGCTTTTGGGCCCAAAATATGTACATAGAGGTTCATGGCACTTATTAACCAATTACTTATCACTGTACTTCTAACCATTTTAGGGCACTTCAGGGGCTTATAAGTGGGTTATAAGTACAGTTAGAATTGGTAATAAGTACCATGAACCCTAAACCCTAAACCCTAAACCCTAAAGCCTAAAGCCTAAAGCCTAAAGCCTAAAGCCTAAAGCCTAAAGCCTAAACCCTAACCCCTACGGCTTTGAGCAGGACGAACCAACAGGGTCAGCGAAGCCACTTGCGCCGAAGGCCGGCCACTCTTGGAGATTTTGTCCGCTGCCTCCCGCTTGGCATCCTCCTTGCTGACTCACTGAGTTTCTTCTAGGGTTTAGGCTTTAGGCTTTAGGCTTTAGGGTTTAGGGTTTAGGGTTTAGGGTTTAAGGTTTAGGGTTTAGGGCTTTGGGTTTAGCCGGGCCTACACCCTAAACCAGTAAAAAGGCCCCCTGAACCCTGAAACCTAAGCCTGAAGGGTTCATGTTAACCAGACGCGGGTGAGTTTTAAGCCGAAGCCCTGGCCTTTCAAAGCTCCAAAGAGGGGTGTCGAGGGTATCGGAACCTAAACCCTAGACCCAAACCCTAAACCCTAAGTCCTAAACCATTCCCGACTTAAATGCCCTAGACCGCGGGCACCCGAGCAGCTGTTGGGAGGGCGTGCAGGTAACTTCCCAACTCCAAAGCAAAAACCCTAGACCCAAGCTCATACTTAGGGTTTAGGGTTTAGGGTTGAGGGTTCAGGGTTCAGGGTTCAGGGTTTACTAAGCCGTTCTGCCAAGGCTCGTCGCAGGAGAGATACTTGTCCAGCACTTTGTCTCGAACAGAGCGGAAGTCTTCCTTCCAGCTTTGGAGCCTAACCTTCTTAGGGTAGCTACATGGTCCCTGAATATGGGCGGCCCTTAGAAGGGTACCTCTTATACCCTACCCCTATATGCCCTACAAAACCCAAAAACCCATTCTTCAGAACCCTTTAAAGCTTCTTACAAGGAGGGGCCCCCGTAGTTACAAGTAGAGCTACAAGAACCCTAGGATCCTAAAGTAGGTTATAAGTCCCTTAACTACAATTAGTATAGTAAGGGGGCCCCTCTTTGTAGGGTAGTTACATGGTCCCTTAATATGGGGCCGCCCTTAGAAGGGTACCTCTTATATGCCCCTTGTACACCCTACAAAACCCAAGGGCCCATACTTCAGAACCCTTTAAAGGAGGTCAGGGACCGTATTCAGTAGGGTCCATAGAACTACCCTGAGAAACCTCTCAAAGCTTTGGTGCTAGGGAGTTACGCAGGCCACCCAGACCCTAAACCCTAAACCCTAAACCCTAAGCCCTAAACCCTAAACCCTAAACCCTAAAATTATATGAGTATAGTAGAATACGTGATACGTATCCCGACAAAAAAAGGTTGGGGTCGAACACTAAGAGACCCTAAACCCTACACCCTAAACCCCAACCCCTAAACCCTAAACCCTAAACCCTTTCAGGGCTCCTCTCGTCCCCCAGGTTCAGGAGGTCTCGCCGGCCTTCAGCGACGTCATCATGCCATCGTACTCCTCGCGCAACGCCGCGTCCGGTGGCAAGGCCCCCAGCTCCTTGTCAGGGACAGAAAAGGACGCCCAGGGAAACCCTATAAAACCTAAACCCTAAACCCTACACCCGAAACCCGAAACCCGAAACCCGAAACCCTAAACCCTAAACCCTAAACCCTAAACCCTAAACCCTAACCCTAAACCCTAAATCCCGCAAGGGTGGAAAACCGCATTCTCCAGGTCCAATCCCAGTTCTTCTAGCATAGGAAAGAAGAAACTTCAAAGGCTAAGAGGCCAAGCATCAGCACCTACAAAGACACAGTAGGGTGTAGGGTTTTGGGATCCGGATTTAGGGCTTTAGAGCCTGGAGTTTGTGGTTCAGGGTTGAATGGTCCTTGAGGAGCTATGTGGCAAAGTTGCAACACCCAAAACCATCCAGCCCAAACCCGACACTTCGGACATGTTCCTACTTGGCAGTGTCCCTAGACTTGGAAGCTTTGCCAGGGTAACGGGTTGAGCGTTTAGGTTTTTAAGGCCTGCGAATCAGTGAAAGCTCCATGATTCCTGCGGGTTCGTGAGCACCACGACCCGGCAGTGGGCAGCAGCAAGCCTGGAACTCAAGGGAAGGAGCAAGATGCGGGTGTAGGAAGAGTGGCTCGCTGGTGCTAAAAGCACCCAGGCCGCTCACCCTGCGCTACTAAGATGCCCCACCCACCCCTACCCCCCTGCTTATTCTCAATTTGGATGTAGGGTTCTACCCCCCAACCCCCTAGCAAGGGTGGCCTTTGTTCCCTGAACCAGATAGGCAGCAAAACGTCGGGGGTAGTAAAGGCCTCGATTGGCCCCTGCTTTTTCGGGCCATCGATAAGAAAAGCTTGGGGCGCAGCAATTTTGAGAAAGTCGCAGTAGGGTTTGCTCACATGCATGGATCCTCAGAAATGCTTGGAAGGCCGTTGTGGCAAGCCTTGGTGGGGTCTCCAAGAGGCGACCTCCGTAGCCGATGGTCGTCGACTTGGGGTGATACTACATAGCTACGCTATTGTCGTGTATGATGCAGATAAGTCCAGGCCGCAAGGGCATGCCAGGGAGGCTTTACCCTGGCCGCGGATTCGTCCTCGGCCCTGCCTGGAAGGCTCGAGCGCCCATGCATATGGTCAGCGGTGCCCTCGCCAGTGTAGGGTTTATGGTTTAGGGTGTCTCTTTTTATGGACCTTGTGGCGGGGAGGCACGCTTACTCCCACGAAAACTTCGGTCTCTTCCGCGCGTCCAAGGTCCGAGCGCTTCTGACCTATGCAAAGAGGCCCCCCCAACAAGCCCAATACCCCTTAACTACGGAAAATGCCCTTGCTCCATAAAGAGCTCCCGAATATGATTTGAGGGTGCATTTTTGGGGATGTTCCCCCTTCTACTAGTCCGTAATCGGGATGATAGCACCCCTCCTTAAAATGCGAGGAGTTTGGATCTTTGGGGTCCCTGATAGGTTTAGGGTTTAGGGTTTAGGGTTTAGGGTTTAGGGTTTAGGGTTTAGGGTTTAGGGTTTAGGGTTTAGGGTTTAGGGTTTAGGGTTTAGGGTTTAGGGTTTAGGGTTTAGGGTTTAGGGTTTAGGGTTTAGGGTTTAGGGTGCAAGACCTCAAGGCTACATGCACTAACCTGGACATCGTCCAGGAGTAGAAAGCGGACCCTGTTTTTTCAATCCTAAACCCTAAACCCTAAACCCTGTATAAACCCTAAACCCTCAACCCTAGACCCTAAACTAAGGGAAGCATGAGGCCAAGGAGCAGCTGGAAGGGATTGAGCCGACCCTGGAGCGACCTGCGCGGAGGCTCAGGGTCGAGGAAAGGGGAATACGTGCCCTAAACCCTAAACCCTAAACCCGAAACCCCCCAACCCAAAACCCGAAACCCGAAACCCTAAACCCGAAACCCGAAACCCTAAACCCTAAGCAAGCCAGTCCAAAAAGCTCCGACTTCCAGAGCTGACGCCCTCTTTGGGCCCGCCTTCCGAGGGGCACCCCGAAAACCCGAATCCTCAAAAGTCCACTTCGGGTTCACAGGGTTTAGGGTTTAGGGTTTAGGGTTTTAGGGTTTAGGGTTTAGGGTTCAGGGTGCAGGGTTTAGAGGGTTAAGTTTAAAGGGTTGGGGGTGGGGGGGGGGGGGGTCGGTATAGGTTCCTTAGGGTTCATGGAGATTATAGGGTTTATGGGGTTTCGGGTCTGGGGTTTATAGGGTTTATGCGTTTCTCGGGGATAGGGTTGATGAGTTGATAGGCTCTAGGATCCAGGGATTATACGGTTCAAGGTTTGTGGTTTAGGGAAGGGCTTAGGGTCCAGGATTTCGGGTTTAGGGCCACACCACAAACAAGGTCATCCGAAACGAATTCCTGAAAGCAGGGTTACAGTGAAGAGTGCCTTAAATGATCGCTGAGAGATACTCATCATGTAGGCTGCTTGGGGCTTACCGCCCTAAGCCCTCTTGGCAGCCCAGTAACCATCCTATAACAAGGGTACACTGTTTTTGGTTAGTTACTTTATCAGAGAACCCAGAACCAAAAAAAGGGTAAAGCGTACCACTAGGCTACAAAGCCCTAAGCCCTAAACCCCAAGGATGAGGGGCTCGCGGGTCCCTCAGGTCGAATGACCCCAAACCCTAAACCCTAAACCCCAAACCCTAAACCCTAAACCCCAAACCCCAAACCCCAAAACCCTGATCCCTAAACTTTTAAACCCCAAACCCCAAAACCCTGACCCCAAAACCCAAAACCCAAAACCCTAAACCCTAAACCCTAAACCCTAAACCCTAAACCCTAAACCCTAAACCCTAAACCCTAAACCCTAAACCCTAAACCCCACCCCGAAAAAAGAAGAAGTCCAAGTCTTGGTGCACCTGCTTTTTCCCATGGCGTACTCCAGCCTTGGTGGTCAGAGGTATGCCCCCAAACCCTGTAAATCCCAAAAACTAGGGTTTAGGGCTTAGAGGGTTTAGAGGGTTTAGAGGGTTTAGGGGGTTTAAGGTGTTTAGGGTTTAGGGTTTAGGGTTTAGGGTTTAGGGTTTAGGCGCCGAGCTCGCCGTTTAGGCACAGGCTGCGGGAACAGGTTCGTTCAGTTGCCTAAACCATGAGGGTTTAGGGTATAGGGTTTCGGGTTCAGGGTTTTCAGTTACAGGGGTCCGAAGTGTAAAGGAGACAGGAGAAAACAGGACCAACACTCAACACACTCAACCCTAAAACCCTTAGCCTGGCAGAGTCTCATTGCAGGCGTAGGGCCCTCGAGTCAAGCTTCTTGGAACGATAATAACTCGGGTTTCCCTAAACCCTGAATCCTGAAGCGTTCATCATGCAACCCGAAACCCTACAACCCGAAACCCGAAATCCCTAAGCCTAAAGCCTTGGGTTTACTTGGAGGTGCAGGGTACTTCTAACCCCAGTTAGAACCGCACTCATAATAGGCCGCCTAAGTCCTAAGGTTGCAAGTAGACTTGTAATTGGGTTTTAAGTACCCATGAGCCCCAAACCCTAAACCCTAAACCCTATCAGGCTTTAGGGTGCCCTCCCCTTCAACTGAAACACCAAATCCCGGACCTCCTAGACTCGGATCTTACTTGAAGGTTCATGGGCAGTTATGAGAAGGGGTCATAAGCTTATGACCTTAATGGTGTTCATCTAGGTTCGCCTAAACCCTAAACCCTAAACCCTACACCCTAAACCCTAAACCCTAAATCCTAAACCCTAAACCCACCCATGAACCTTCGAGCGGCCCCCGATCCTCCCAACGCCGAGCTGCAGGGGCACCAGCTTTCGGGGCACCTTCGAAATCGCTTGCTCCGGGCACCCGTACCTGTAGGGTTTAGGGTTTCGGGTTTCGGGTTTGGGGTTTGGGGTTTAGGGCCACCGCTAGAACCCAAAATCAAAACCTACTTGTTTGTAGGTTACCTAAGAATCCTACAAGGGGTTTTAGCATCAGAACCTACAAAAAAGTAGGTCTAGGGTTTATATGGCTAAGACCCTTCTGAGGAATAATTCCTACATGTGACCCCGTTAAACCCAATAAGGGCATGAATAAAATTAAAACCAAGGGCCTACCTGGGTAGACGAGTTAGGGCTCTTGGACGTTTCGGGTCTCGGGCTCAGGGTCTTGTGGGGTTTCGGGTTCTGGCTCGGTTCTTCGGGTTGAGGGCGGCGTAGGCTATTGCCACTGCCCGAAACCTCAAAAAAGGCAACCCTGAAGACCCTGAACCCTGATCCCTACACCCCCAAAAGAACACGGTCATTGAGACCCGATTCCCAGGCCCTGAACCTTTAGGTTGCTTCAGAATTTATGCCCACAATAAACCCTAAGAACCCTAATTAAACCCCAAGTATAAACCGTAATTCTAAACCCTAAACCTACACCCTAAACCCCAAACCCCAAAGCCTCAACCCTAAACCCTAAGCCTCAGGCCCTGACACAGCAATGTCCAGGTCGCCCTGGTCGCTGCCATACTGCATGTAGACGTGGGGCCTGAGTTGGTTGGTTCAGGCTGGGGCTTCTCGTGCCCCAAACCCTAAAATCCCGAGAAAGCCCCTAAACACCCTAAAAACCCCCCAAAACCCCCAAAAACCCAAAAAAAAACCTAGCAACACTAGCAACCCCTAAGCCAGCGTGTGGTAAGATTGCAGGTAGAGGGGACGCGCTGAGCCCACAAGAAGCTCAATCTGAGAAATTCTGCACAGGGGACTCGAGAGTATGTGGCGCGGCAGCTAGATCAGCCGAACTGAATCCGGTTTGGGTTGAGGGTTTAGGGTTTAGGGTTTAGGGTTTAGGGTTTAGGGTTTAGGGTTTAGGGTTTAGGGTTTAGGGTTTAGGGTTTAACCAAAAACCCATCGACATCTGGTACAGGGGCAAAGTCTGCCTTGATCCGCGAATAAAACTAGATCCCCCAGCAGCCTCGGATGAACAAACTGCCCTTTCTGATTTCCAGGGGTGTGCAGGAAGCTTAGGGGGTATAAGGAGGGACCCCTAGAAGGGACCCTCAATTTCACCCCTATATATATACATATATATGTATATATATATATATACATTTTTTTGTTCCTATGTGCCTAAATAACGCCTAAGGTCCCTTATAAGTGTCCCTCCGCTAGTCCCTTGAGCTACACAGGGAATCAGGCTCTCGGAGCAAGAGAAAAGCCCAACACTCCAACACCATCCTCGGGGGTCCCGGAACGAACATTTCAAAAGCGGGCTCAAAGAAACCCTAAACCCTAAACCCTAAACCCTAAACCCTAAACCCTAAACCCTAAACCCTAAGCCTATACCGCAGCTAAGCACTGAACAAGTCTGAGCATCCTAAGCAAGGGCCCTGATCGGCCCTTCGACACTCAAGATCCTTCAAGCAAACCCCCCCCCCCCCCCCGACTAGACCCAGGAGTAGCCAAGGAGAGAAAAAATGATGCCCTTTTTGGTTTAAAGGCGCTTCTAAGGGAACCCCGACCCAAAAAAAAATGAATAATGGCCAACCCTGGGTCCTATCTGATTAACTTGGTAGCCCAAGAACCACGTCACAATAGGGATGCTGTACTCTTGTGGGTGTTAGCTTATTTGGAAAGGAACCCCAAACCCCAAAAAGGGCAAAAGGGTGCCAGCGGACTACGTTAAGTACAAGGGACCCTTCCACTACCAACCCGGCGCCCCAAATCCTAAACCCTAAAATCTGCCAGGCGGCTTCATTGTCCTTGGGTCCACTTCGAAGGTTCCCGGGCACTGGGTGGCGCACTTGAGGCAGCTGGAACAGACGGTCTCGTCAACGAAGAGGCCTGCACTATGAGGGTTTGAGGGGTCGAGGGCTCAGGGTTTTAGGGAACACAATGATGAGTTGAGGGTTTCGGGCTTTAGGGTTGAGGGGTTTTAGGAAACGAAGAGGCAGGGTGGAGGGGTGGAGGGTTTTAGGGTGCTAGGGTTTACGGATGAGAAGATTCGAACGCTGGCTTCAGACAGGGGGCGCCGTTCTCAAAATTAGGCAGGTTCCTGTTTTGCTACGTAGCCATACACAAAAAGGGCACCCTGAAATTTACAAGGGGCCATGGTCTAGAGAACTACTTACATGGGTTTGCAAAGTGGCTCTACAATACAGGAGCCTTAGAATGTCGAATAGGTTTGGCGGGTTATTATACTTGAGTTATAACTGTATAGGGACCATAAGGGAACACTATCAGCAACTTTCCGACCCTTATATTAGATAGCTCTTGATGTTTCTCGAAAGAGGCCTTAACCCTAAACCCTAAAACCCTCAACCCTAACCCCTAAACCCTGAACCCAAAAACCTTAAACCCTAAGCCCTGCTCTGAGTTCGAGGGCTCCTTTGGGTAACTTAGCAGAACCTTTCGAGCCCCCGAAGAAGCCTGTTAACCCCAGAGCCCCAAAACCTGGGAAGCACCCTAAACCCTAAACTCGAAACCCTAAACCCCAAACCCTAAACCCTAAACCCTAAACCCAAAACCGCGTCCAAGCCTTCGGGCCCCTTCTTGTTCCACTGGCTCATGGCAATACCTGCCATTTTGCTTCGCCGAAGCGTGGTGTCCTCAGCTCAAGGAACAGGTTTGGGGGTTTAGGGTTTAGGTTTAGGGTTTAGGGGTTTAGGGTTTAGGTTTAGGGTTTAGGGTTTAGGCTTAGGGCTTAGGGCTTAGGGCTTAGGGTTTAGGGTTTAGGGTTTAGGGTTTAGTGGTTAGTGGTTAGGGTTCAGGGCTCAGGGCTCAGGGCTTCGGGCTTCGGGCTTCGGGCCTAGGCCTTAGGGCTTAGGGCTCGGCTGGTGTGGGGGGGGGGGGGTCGGGGATGGGAGTTGGGTTCGGCGGTTGGGGGGGGGTCGGGTTGGGCTTTGATGGCTTCGAAGGCAAGCTGCTTGTCCCTCCGGGGTGCTTGTAATTTAGGAATCTCCGGAAGAAAGGGATACCTGCCCTTTCCGGAAGAATTTTGGTTGATTGGGATCGAGGAACAGAGGAACAGAGGAAGAAGGGCACTACGGCTTAGGGTTTAGGGTTTGGGGTTTAGGGTTTAGGGTTTAGGGTTTAGGGTTGTAGCGAAGTTGCGTCATTCAATAAGAGGGCCCTCGCTGTCCTTGGCAAGCCCCAACGAAGATGTTCTTGCAGTCCGTTTCTTCCCAAAGAGCCCAATACCCTTGAATTAAGGAATTCACCTTAAATCATATTAAGCATCCCTTTATAAATTAAGGTATATTCCTTAACTAATTAAGGGGTATTGGGCTCTTTGGGTTTAAGTCCCAGGTAGGATTTGCAGGGTCTCATTGTCAGGCTCCGAGTTTTGCAGGTTCCTTGGAGGATCTACAGTGACAGCTTGGAACCTGCCTGGAGTGCACGGCGAGGGTTTAGAGGAAGTCTGGTTTTCTGTGGACAGGATCCAACAAGGGAGCTTAGGACTCTACTCAGAACGTACGCAGTTCCCTGAGCCGTCAAGCATGTAACTGTACTTATAACCATATTAGGGCACTTAAGCGGGTTATAAGTACTTAATAAGTACCATGGACCTCCAAGTAACCCCCTAAACCCTAAACCCTAAACCCTCAACCCTCAACCCTAAAACCAAAAACCCTAAAACCCTAAAACCTAAAACGCCAAGACCAGACCGAGCATCGTAAGTTTCACGCTTCTCGTCATCGCTCAGAGTGCGATACGCGACGTTAACGATGGCCTGCATCTTCTGGGACGGGACGGATTTTGGGTTTTGGGTGTTGGGCTTAGGGCTTAGGGCTTAGGGCTTAGGGCTTAGGGCTTAGGGCTTAGGGCTTAGGGCTTAGGGCTTAGGGCTTAGGGTTTAGGGTTTAGGGTTTAGGGTTTGCTTAGGGTTTAGGGTTTAGGGGGGCTTCAATATGTGATGCTGGCTGAACTGGAACTCCAGGAACCCAAGATTAACGAGGGCTCCCACTTGTTTCTTCTTGGGCTGCTTAGAACGAGGAAGCTACAGGACCACGAAAACAGTGAAACTGGCTGTGGCAAGAAGAAGGAATTCCCGAGCCGCCAAGGTAACCTAAACCCTAAACCCTAAACCCTAAACCCTAAACCCTAAACCCTAAACCCTAAACCCTAAACCCTAAACCCTAAACCCTAAACCCTAAACCCTAAACCCTAAACCCTAAACCCTAAACGCGGGGGCGGAGAAGGCATCATGACATCCCCAGCTTTGGGGCTCTGCAACGACCAAGGACACCCTTCCGTTACTTTTGCGGGAAAATGGGGAGGGTTCACGAAAATCGGGGACCCCCCCAATATGGATCAGTTATAATAAGGACCCCAAAAAGGTACCCGCCATATAGGGTTTAGGGTTTAGGGTTTAGGGTTTAGGGTTTCGGGTTTAGGGTTTAGGGTTTGGGGCAATAAGGGGCCCCCCAGTATAGATCCCCAGGTAGTAGGATCCCCTTGTTATAAGGACCCCAATAAGGTACCCCTTCACCTGGTTGGAACCACACGCACCCCAAAGAAGCCTGCAAGTCACCGCTGGCGGCGCCCAGAATATCCGGATGGACCAGCTTCACCGTTCTCCTGCGCCCGTATTTTGTGTTCGAGGATGTCTTTGCAGCCCGGTGACCACGCTATTCTAACAAAGGCACGTTGTTCTGACAAGGACACGTTTTTCTAAGGGGTGGGTTGGATACTTTCGAAGGGAACCTTGAACCCCCAAAAAAGGGGTAAAGGGTATCACAGGGCTACCAAGATGTGGACAGGGCTTGGGGGCTTGGGCTCTGGGATTGGCATTGTGGGTTTGGCGCAAGGGCCACGCCTGTAGGAGAAAAAGTTGCAAGCAAACCCTAAACCCTAAACCCTAAACCTCTGAAACAGGGATGTTTGGGGAGCAGGGCTCAGTAGAGCGAGGGTAAGAGTAAGAATGACAAACATATGGGGGGTTTCACGATATTAGGGGTACCTTATTGGGTCCTTATTATAAGGGGGTCCTACTAGTTGGGGTCTGTATTGGGGGGGGGGGGGGGGGGGGGGTCCTACTAGTTGGGGTCTGTATTGGGGGGGGGGGGGGGGGGTACCCTTATTCTGGTAAACCCCCGAAACCCTAAACCCTAAACCCAAAACCCTAGGGTGCACATGGCTAGGAACCAGCCTCTTTGCCTTTTGGGTTTGGGGTGGCGGCTGCTGCTGCAGCTGCGGCGGCTATCATTCTTACCGCTGTTGTCGTTGCGATCGTTCTCGCTGTCGCTATCGCGATGTATTTCGTCATCGTGGTTACTAGTGCTCTTCTTATACAACCCCTTACACCCCTCAACAAAAGACTGCGTAAGGGCTTAGCTAAACCCAAAACCTGCCGCGTGTGAGACACTGGGGGACTGCCTTCTTGGAAAACCCTGAACTTGCGAAAGCTCCTTCACACATCCCTGTATGGCCTTAGGGTGTTCGGGTTTTGGGGGCTTTAGGGATGTTAGGGTTTTAGGGGTTACTCAAAGTCCTAAAGCCCTAGAGCCCTAGAGCCCTAGAACCCTAGAGCCCTAAAGCCCTAGAGCCCTAGAGCCCTAAAGCCCTAAAGCCCTAAAGCCCTAAAGCCCTAAAGCCCTAAAGCCCTAAAGCCCTAAAGCCCTAAAGCCCTAAAGCCCTAAAGCCCTAAAGCCCTAAAGCCTAAACCCTAAGCCCTAAGCCCTAAACCCTTAACCCTAAACCCTTAACCCTAAACCCTAAACCCTAAACCCCAAATTCCCACCGGCCGTCTGCTCCTGTGCGCCGCCTTGATCTCCTTCTTGTCGGACGTGTAGGCCGGGATGCCCAGAAGCCCGTAGTAGTCCTGAGGGGTTTTGGGTTTAGGGTTTAGGGTTTAGGATTTAGGGTTTAGGGGGCGGGGTGGGTCCCTCAACCCTGAAACCCCGAAACCCTGAAGCCCCGAAACCCCGAAGTCCTGAACCCATGAACCCTGAAACCCTGAAAATCTAAAACCGAAAATAGACTGGGAGAGGGACAAGGGGACGTGTTGGGGGGAGCTTTAGGCCTTCGTAAGGGCCTCTAAAATCGAAGCCCCGAACCAAATCTTAGGGTAGTTACATGGTCCCAAAATATCAATGTGGGCCCTTAAAAGGCGACCCCTCACATATCCTTCAGTTGTACTACTATTTGCGTAAGAACCCCAAAAGAAATAAAAACAAAAACACAACATTCCCGATAGTACCCTTAATCAGGAAGAATGTTTCTTCGGTTTTTTGGGGACCCCTAAGCAATTAGTAGTGTACCTTGTACAACCCAAGGGCCCATGCATCAGAACTCAAACCCAAAACATCCCAAGACAGAACTAAGCCCTAAACCCTATAAACCCTAAACTCTAAACCCTAAACACTACTAACCCTAAACCCCTAAACCCCTAAACCCCTAAAACCCCTAAACCCCTAAACCCTAATCCCTAAACCCTAAAAAATGTTGTTGTTTTGGAGTCAAGGGAAGTCCTTAAGGGAAATAAGGGACCAGGCAGGGAATCGTGGCAAACTACGGAAAGCCTTAGGGACCGGTAAGTCCAAAACCCCAAACCCTAAAACCTAAACCCACGACCCCAAACCCTAGACCCTAAACCCAAGACCCCCAAGGCCTAAACCCCAAACCCCAAACCCTCAACCCCAAACCCCAAACCCTAAACCCTAAACCCCAAACCCTAAACCCCAAACCCCACCGGGGCTCCGTGGGCGCAACCTCGCTGCCGGCGCGCAGCGCACAACGCCGGCGCTGGATCAGTGCGGCGGCCTGGGAGATCCGCTTTGGGAATAGGGGTTTAGGGTTTAGGGTTTAGGGTCTATATAGGGTTTTGGGGTTTAGGACTGTATGGGCGTTGTGATTGCTTAGGGTTTGGGTTCGGGTTGGTTTTGTTTGGGGTTTAGGACTGTATGGGTGTTGTGATTGCTCAGGCTTTTGGGAGCTCTGAGGGAGAAACTAAGGTTGGTGTTGGGGTTCAGGGTTTAGGGTGTGGGGTTTGGGGCTTAGGGTAGGGTTTAGGGTTTGGGCTTTAGGGCTTGGGGTTTAGGGTTTGGGGTGTAGGGTTTGGGGTTTGAGGGCTCAGGCTCAAGGTTTTTCGGGGGGGTTTGGGGGTCTAAATCCTAAACCCTAAACCCCAAACCCTAAACCCCAAACCCCAAACCCTGAACCCCACCCCCTAAACCCTAAACCCCAAACCTCCAAAGCCTAAACCCCACACCCTAAACCCTAAACGTTCTTCGTTGAGGGCCTTGAAGGGATAGCTCTCCGGGCAGACTGTCCGAACATGGATCCAAGCCCCGAATCTGGAAATCTTAGCCACATGGTTTAGGGTTTAGAGTTTAGGGTTTAGGGTTTAGGGTTTAGGGTTTATGGCTTAGGGTTTAGGGTGGTTTGCGAAGTTAGGGGTACCCTATTGGGGTCCTTATGATAAGGGAATCCTACTATTTGGGGGTCTATTTTAGGGATCGTTTACTTGCGTAGATCCCCACATGAGCCTGCCAGCTCCAACGTGTGTCGGGCTTAGCTTAGGGTTTTCCTTTCAGGTACACTTGAAGAAGTATTGAATCCACTAATCCCCAACCTAAACCCGAGCCCTTGTGAGCCCTCTAGTCTACAAGCCACAAAAGCCCTGAAGCAACCTTGAACCTAAACATCCTCCCAACTTAGTATGGACCCTTTCCCTTATACCCCCGATACACATCAGAACCCTTCAAGGGAGGCAAGGGACCACGTTAAGGGACCCCATGAAACGACCCCCTAGACCAAAAAGGCAGACGAGGAGCAGTCAGCACCAGGGCTGTGCCTCGACTTAGGCCCTGGGCGAGGTTCGGCCTGGCCCTGGGGCCCATGGGAGGCGCCCGCCAGGGCCCCGCAGGGCGCGCGGCGCCCGCGGGCGCCCCGGCGCGGGTGGGGGCCCAGCCAGCTAGGGCCATGGCGTCTGCGGGCCTTTTTTTTGGGAGCACGTTTACTCTCTGGGCTTCTTTTGCTTTTTCAAAGGCTGCCGGGTCTACATTTAACTTCTAACTTCTTTGCTTGGGTGGTTGCAACGGATGTTCTTATGTGACTTGGCTAAGTCATGCGAATTCATGTGTGGGTTGCAGGTACCGACAGGTGCTTACTGCTACTCTGCAGCCTGACTCCCCAATCCCTAAACCCTGCAACCCCACAGCCCTGGAAACCTAAACCCTAAACCCTAAACCCTAAACCCTAAAACTGTCCATGTGCACCTGCTGCAAGCTGACACAGCCAGATGGCTCAAGAGCACAATGGCAGCTTCGGGACCAGGCCGGTAGCCCAAGCAAAGCCACTCAACAGGCTGTTTGGCGGCTTGGGGCTTCGGAATAGCTATGTTCAGGCTTTCAAGGTTCGGTTATACCGCAAAAGGGATTTTAACCCCTGAGCTTAAGATCCTGAACCCTGAGCCGCCCTAGACCCTGGCAGCATCGGAGCTGTCACAGAACCCTAAACCCTAAACCTTAAACCCTAAACCCTAAACCCTAAACCCTAAACCCTAAACCCTAAACCCTAAACCCTAAACCCTAAACCCTAGCCCTAGACCCGAAACCCTACACCCTAGGCCTAAACCCTAAAGCCGAAACCCTAGGCCTAAACCCTAAAGCCGAAACCCTACATGCCAGACCCTACATATCATGCAGCAATGTAAGCAAATAAGCTTTTGGGTTGGCAGCGTCCAGGGTTTCCCAGATCGAGCATAAACCCTCAGCCGCACGCCCGGGATTCGGAGGGGGGGGGAGGGACAAACCAGGGGCTGAGGGTTCAGGGTTTAGGGTTTAGGGTTCAGGGTTTAAGGTTTAGGGTTTAGGGTTCAGGGTTTAGGGCTTCGGGTTTAGGGCTTAGGGTTTCAGGCTTGTAGATGAGGGTTTGGGATTCAGGCTTAGAATTCAGGTTGCACTTAGCAGAACCCAACTACTGGTGCTTCGGACCCTACTTCTTCCTGCTTGCTAAGTTCCCACACTTGATGTATACCACTTGTGATGATCTAAGCCCTAACCCTAAACCCTAAACCCTGATCCCCCCCCCCCCCCCGCATTATAATCTCTAACTAGGACTGGTTGTATAAGGGTGAACATGCCTTGGAGGACCCGGAGAACATCCAGTAAGTTTTAGGGTTTAGGGTTTAGGGTTTAGGGCTTAGGGTTTAGGGTTGGGGCCCGGAGCCCCACCTACCCTAAGGCCCTAGACCCTCAAACCTCCAAGCCCCAGATGCAGTTTGGGTTTAGGGTTTAGGGCTAGGGTTTAGGGTTTAGGGTTTAGGGTTTAGGGTTTAGGGTTTAGGGTTTAGGGTTTAGGGTTTAGCGTTTAGGGTTTAGGGTTTAGGGTTTAGGGTTTAGGGTTTAGGGTTTAGGGTTTGGGGTTTGGGGTTTGGGGTTTAGGGTTGGCCTTGCATCATGGACGGAAAGTCTGCTTGGATCTCCTCCACTTGGGTTTCAGTGAGAGCTTATCTGAAGTCTCTGCGGGTCTTCCAAAAAGTTTAGGGGTTTGAGGATTATAGCGGTTTAGGGGGGTTTGGGGTTTAGGGTTTAGGGTTTAGGGTTTGGGGAGAGGTTCAGGGTTTGGGTTTTAGGGCTCAGGGTTTTTGTGTACCCTTGAAGCCCCTGAATACTTCCTCCCCCCCCCACTCCCACGCCCTCCCCTAAACCTCTTAAACCCGAAGCCCCCCAAAACCGAAGGCGGTTCGGGTTCAGGTTTCGGGTTCCGTTCCCCCTTGTCGCAGAGTTTGCACATTGGGCTGGGTTGCTGGGTTTCACAGGGGGTGGGGGATCTGGCCAGATGATTACTTAACGCCTGGGTGTGAATGAGTCTTCAAGCCGCACCCTTTGCTGAAGCTAGGTAACCAGAAGCGGAGGCAGAAGTTAAGGCAACCTATGCCATGACCTTGTTGAGTGCTACTTGCCGCCTGCCCACTTCCGTCTAGGGGGTTTGTACCTTGGGCCCTGAAGGTTGTAGACTTGAGCTTTTCGGGAAGCTGTTCAAGGATCCGTAAGGTAGTACAAAAGGAATGACTATAGGAGTGGAATAAGGGGACCTGTGTAAGGGTACAACTTGAGGGGGACGAGTCTTCATCCCTTGATTCCCCCAAACCCCAAACCCCAAACCCTAAACCCCGAACCCTAAACCTTAAACCCCAAGCCCTAAACCCTAAACCCCAAACCCTAAACCCTAAACCCTAAGCGCTCTGTCCTTCGCCCGCTGCATGGACTGCTGCTGCTCTCTCCTCAGCTGCTCCTGTGCACGTCCACGGGCTCCCAGAATGCCAAGGTAGGGTAGAGTAGGGTTTAGGGTTTAGGGTTTCGGGTTTAGGGTTTAGGGTTTAGGGTTCAGGGTTCAGGGTTCAGGGTTCAGGGTTCAGGGTTTAGGGTTTGGGGTTTAGGGTTTAGGGTTTCGGGTTTCAGGTTTAAGGGTTTCAACATCGCCATTCGGGTCGCTGTCAAGGGGCTTCGGGCTTTAGATTCGCATCTTCAGACTGCAGCTACTACTGCTAGCTGCCATGAGGTCCAAGCCCTAGCCACCCTAACCAGCCTAACCACCCCAAACCACCCTAAGCCACCCTAAGCCACCCTAAGCCACCCTAATCACCCTAAGCCACCCTAAACCAACCAAAACCACCCTAGGCCACCCTAAGTCACCCTAAACCACCCTAAACCACCCTAAGTCACCCTAAACCACCCTAGGCCACCCTAAGTCACCCTAAACCACCCTAAACCACCCTAAGCCACCCTAAACCCCATAATCACCCTAAACCCTAAATCACCCTAAACCCTAAACCACCCTAAACCCTAAATCCTAAACCCGAATCCCTCAACAACCGATGAGTCCCCGGCCTGGCGCTGCCGGATCTTCTGGAGGGCCTAGCTTCGGGCTTTTTGGGGTGCTGGGGCGGTTTAGGGTTTAGGGTTTAGGGTTTAGGGTTTAGGGTTTAGGGTTTAGGGTTTAGGGTTTAGGGTGTTTGGGCTTTAGAGCTTTCGGCTTTTGGTGTTTTAGGGTGTTAGGGTGTTAGAGTTGTTTGGGTTTGGGGCTCGGCTGAGGGTTTCGGGTATAGTTTGGGGTGGTTAGGGTGGTTAGGGTGGCTAGGGTGGTTAGGGTGGTTACCCTCGAGTTGCACAGTACTACCGCAGCCCACCAAGCGCGCCTGAGCGGAGGTCATTGCCGCCAAGCTCTTCGCACGCTCCAGATCCTCCCGACGCGATGCGACGTGGAAGTGTCGGGGCTCGAGGGGCGTTTAGGGTTTAGGGCTAGGGTCTAGGGTTTAGGGCTTAGGGTTTAGGGGTTAGCCCCTAACCCTAAACCATGAACCCTACAAGCATGTGGGCTGCAGGGGCCTACGGCCTCCAGTTGCCTGTTCCGGAGCTTTGGGGTGCGGCGCTGCGGGGCATGGGGATTTCGGGTTGTACGCCTCGCCAGGGCTCACCTAGAGCTTTCAGGTTTGCGGCGTTGGGGAAACAGTTTGTGTGATGAGGGCTTTCATTCTGGCTGGGTTCTAGGGGAGGAAAACCACAACCCCAAAATGTTAGACGCTTTAGGGTTGAGGGCTGGTCTCCTTTCGAAAGCGTGTGGTTCCCCGCTACCCCCAAACCACGGGTTGAGGGGTTTGGGGTTGGGGGTTTGTCGGGTTTAGGGTCAGAGCAGAACAAGCCACAGGAAAGCCACGACGTGCAGGATTCCATTGGCCAAATGCACTCTGAGGCTGACTCTGCTGCTCTGAATACACATTCGCCCCGGCAAGGGTGGAAGATGTGACCCTAAACCCTAAACCCTAAACCCTAAACCCCAAACCCCAAACCCTAAACCCCAAACCCTAACCCCAAAACCCTAAACCCTAACCCCCAAGTCGGTGGCCCTCGGATCTCAACCTGGCAAAGACTTTGGGTACAAGACTATACCTAGGGCTCTACTTACCTACTGTTGTTGTCAAGTATATTAGGGTTTAGGGTTTAGGGTTTAGGGTTTAGGGTTTAGGGTTTAGGGTTCAGGGTATACCCCAGAATTTAATAGGTCTAACCTGTAAAAGTGTATGTAACGAGAGTGTCAGGTAACCCTAAACCCTATCAACCAGAAGCCCTGAAAACCTCTACCCTCCATCAGAAAAAATGCGCGGGGGCCCTCCAGAAGAACCTGCGGGCAACCCTAGACCTAAACCCTGAACCCTAAACGCTAAACTCTAAACACTAAAGCCTAAACCCTAAACCCCACCCACAGGAGTCGAAAACCCCCCCCCCCCCACACGCGCGCCTGCATGTGCCGGGCCAGCTCGTCATTCTGCCGCTGCAGGATGACGCTGGCATCCTGGGAGGGTTTAGGGTGTAGGGCTTAGGGTTTAGGGCTAGGGTTTAGGGTTTAGGGCTTAGGGTTTGGGGTTTAGGGCTTAGGGTTTAGGGCTAGGTTTAGGGTTTAGGGTTTAGGGCTTGGCGCTTAGGGTTTAGGGTCTAGCTTAGGGTTTAGGGCTTATAGGGTTTAGAGTTTAGGGTTTTAGGGTTTAGAGTTTAGGGTTGAGGGCTTAGGGCTTAGGGTTTAGGGCTCAGGGCTTGGGGCTTAGGGGTTAGGGGTTTCGGGTTCAGGGTTTAGGGCTTAGGGTTTAGGGTTGCGGGTTTCGGGTTTGGGCTCTTCAAACAAAGGGTGCAGCTTCGAGTTGCGTTCCGAGGCTGCTCCGCCGACCCGGAGCTCTGCGGGGGTTTAGGGTTTAGGGTTTAGGGTTTAGGGTTTAGGGTTTAGGGTTTAGGGTTTAGGGTACCCTCTTGGTCCCTCATTTTCGTAAACCCCCATGTCTCTGAAGCCTTCAGCCGGTTTAGGGCGGAGAGCTGAGGGTCCACAACCCCAAACGCGCTTTAGGGTTTAGGGTTTAGGGTTTAGGGTTTAGGGTTTAGGGTTTAGGGTTTAGGGTTTAGGGTTTAGGGTTTAGGGTTTAGGGTGCGCG